GGCCTACGGCCTCGGGCGGTATTCAAGACCTCGGGCACAGTTTTTCTCAATACGGATCGACCTATGCTGGTCAATAACATATATGTATGGTGTGTTATGGCGTAACTTTATGATGGTACCAGTTCAAGTGGTGGTACAGCACAAGAGTATTGACTCTAAATAGTTTTTGAACGCTGTGACAAGGACTGGTGAGGTACATTCAAAGATCAAATTTTGCTGAAGCCTCGATTTGAGTTCCAGATCTTGTAGGGGAAATTCTAATTATAGGAGAGTTTCTCAACTGTTCGTCTTCATTTTCCATGAATTCACTTTCCAAGTCGCTTCCGTAATCATAAACCTGTGCTGGTTCAAGTCCAACACTTTTATAGAATTTTTGTATACTAGTGTCCCTACCAAGTTAATCGTTGGACAAAAACAGATCTCCTGCGGCCATAGAATTGAGAGATCTATCATTGGTCTGTAGCTCTCTACCCACTCTTTCATGAACACTTCCCAGACTATAGAGCTAGCGTAATTTACCACTCTTGCAGAAGGCTCTCAGCATAATCTTGACGAGGTTGGCAAAATTACGTGCACAGTTTGAAAGCATCCTTTATGGTCTGCATCGCGTTGTGACAATAGAGTTTATTTGCTCAGTAGCAGGGCCAGGATTTAGTTTAAGAACCAAATCATCCTCTAATAATACGGGGAATGTGGCGGTGGTGTTTGCATAATAAACACATGGACGTTTGTAACGCCTCCGCTTCATCAGACCTGTGTTAGCAAACTGGCCAAGGTTTTGGTGACCGAGACTTTAAAAGCGAGGTTTCTTGCAATTTAGTACATTTCCGAGCCAAATATTCGCCGAATCGATTTCCTGGATAGTTATGTTTGTAAACCCGGATTAAATTCCTCGCTGTGACATCTTGGAAGGAATAAAGAGACAAAAACAACGGGGAACGAATAGACAAAGCAAGACCATCATTAGAAAGCGCTGAAGGTACTTCAGCCCTATTGGTGGAACGTGTTACAGACCACAAAGGATGCTCCAAACCCAGTCACGTAATTCGGCTGGCCTTGTCAACATATGCTGTGAGCCTTCTCTAAATGACGTTAATCATTCTTTGTCCTTTTGCTTGATGAACACTCAGTCTATCGAAACAAAACAGCGGATTTCATGGACTACGTCTGTGGACAAGTGTTCGATCTTGTTGTAGTCACGTATACTTGGTTATATTCTATAAGAGCTCCGCTATGTTCTTGTGGCTACAGGTTTCTGGATAAGCATCGGGTTGGCTATCGGGGTGGTGGAACTACACTCCCTTCCAAGGATTCTTTAAAGGTCACTTCGTTCAATTGTGGACAGCTAGAGTCATTTGAGCGCTCAGAATGGATAGTGTCTCCTTCCGCTTCGAATAATCTAAGGGTTATCATTGTTTATTGAACAACGTACTCGGCTGACCAAAGGGTACCGTTACGATTATAAAAGCTGACCTTTCGAGCGTTAGCCCTTCGTCGGAGCGAATAGAGGAATTGTGGGTTGTGTGTGCTTTTAAAGGCAGAAAATGGAGCTACGTTATTGGTGGGAACATGGCAACGGGAAAAACACGAATAAATTAGTGGAATGAAAAGCGTTCGTTGATACCTGTGGGATTTAGACTGCCGGTTTGAAAGATGAGCTTTTGTTCAAGAGTTTTACGGCTTTCCGTGCTACCTAAGTGTAAGGAAAGACCGCAGATTAGGT